GGGCAAGGTGAAGAGTTTTTAGATTTGTCATCAAAAGCATGATCCATAAAAAGGAAAAACTGACCAATTTGACCTCATCGAAACTGAAAGCTTTTGCTCTAAGATACCTGTGAAAGGATGAAAAGAAAAGCTACGGAAATGACTTCAGTAAAGTTGCAGGATATAAAATCAATATACAAAAATCATTTGCATGTCTATACACTAACAATGAACTATCAGAAAGAGGAATTAAGACAATTTCATTTATAATTGCATCAAAAAGAATAAAATACCTAGGAATAAATTTAGCTAAGGAGGTGAAACAGCTCTACACTGAAAACTTATAAGACATTGATGAAAGAAACTGAAGAAGATACAAATAAATGAAAAGATATTTCATACTCGTGGAAGAATTCATATTATTAAAATATTAATACCACCCAAAACATTCTACATATTCAATGCAGTGCCTATCAAAATTCCAAAGGTATTTTTCACAGAAATAGAATAAACAATCCTAAAATATTTGTATGAAACTACAAAGACTCTGAACAGCCAAGTAGTCTTAAGAAAGAAAAACAAAGCTGGAGGCATCACACTTCCCGATTTCAAATTGTATTACAAAGCTATAGTAATCAAAAGAGTATAGTATTGACACAAAAGCAGATACATAGATCAATGGAACAGAATAGAGAACTCAGAAATTTAACCCATGTATATATGGTTAATTACTTTATGACAAAGGATATACAATAGGGAAAGGACAGTATCTTTGATAAATATTGTTGGGAAAACTGGTTAGACACATGCAAAAGAATAATAATAGACACTTATCTTACATCATATAATAACAAGAACAAGAAAAACTCAAAATAGATCGAAGATTTGAACACAAGACCTGAAATCGTACAATTTCTAGAAGAAAACATGGAGGTAAGCTCCTTGACATCAGTCTTGGAGATTATGTTTTTGATTTGACACCAAAAGCAAAGGCAAAAAACAAAAAACAAAAAAAAAACCAAACAAGTAGGACTACATCAAATTAAAAAGCTCTGCACAGCAAAGGAAACTATCAATAAAATGAAACGAAAACCAATGATTGTGAAAAAGCATTTGCATACCATATGTCTGATAAAAGGTTAATATCCAAAAATATATAAAGAACTTATATAACTCAATAGCAAAAAATAAATAAAAATAAAATAAAACCTGATTTTAAAATGGGCAGAAGAACTGAATAGACATTTCTCCGAAGGAGACATGCTATTGACCAACAAGTATATGAAAAAGTGCTCAACATCGTTTATCACCAGAAAAGTGCAAATCAAAACCACAATGAGCTATCACCTCACACCTCTTAGAATGGCTATCATCAAAAAGACAAAAGATAAGATGTGTTGGAGAGGATGTGGAGAAAAGAGAACCCTTGCGCACTGCTGGTGAGTGTGTAAATTGGTGCAACCACTATAGAAAACAGGGAGGTTCCTCAAAAAAAAAAAAAGTAAACAACTACCATATGATCCAGGAATCCCACCTTTAGGTTATATATCTTTAGGAAATGAAATCACTGCCTCTAAGAGTTATCTATACTTCCATGTTCATTGCAGCATTATTCACAATAGCCAAGTTATATAGACAACCTAAGTGTCTATCAACAGATAAGTGGATAAAGAGGATGATATATTATATATATGATATATATACATTATATATGATATATATACATCATACACATATATGTATGTGTGTGTATATATGTGTGTGTGTATGTGTATGTATGTATGTGTATATATATATGTGTGTGTGTGTGTGTGTGTGTGTGTGTGTATAAAACAGATTATTACCCAGCCATAAGAAAGACATGGTTATTATGCTAAGTGCAGTAAATCAGATAAAGACAAATACTGTATATCAGTTTTATGAAGAATTTAAAAGTAGAAACAGAGACTAGAATGGTGGTTACCAGGGGCTGGGGAGTGGGGTGGGAGGGAAGGGGAGGTATTGGTCAAAGGGTACAAACTTCCAGTGATGAGTAAATACTGGGGATCTAATGTACAGCATGGTGATTATAGTTAATAATATTATACAGTTGACCCTTGAACAACATAGATTTGAACATGGGCTTGAACTTATAGGTAGATTTTTTTCAATAAATACTATACATGTATTTTCTCTTCCTTATTTTCTTAATAACATTTTTTCTCTAGCTTTACTGTAAAAATACAGTATTTAATACATATAACATACAAAATATGTGTTAATGAATTGTTTATGTTATCAGTAAGGCTTCTGGTCAACAGTAGGCTATTCATAGTTAAGTTTTGGAAGAACCAAAAATCACACGTAGAATTTCGACTGCATGGGGGAGGGGATAGGGGTGGGGTCAGTGCCCCTAACCCCACATTATTCAAAGTCTACTTTATTATATACGTGGGGAAAAAAAAAAGCTACAGACCAGGAGAAAATATCTGCAGGCCACATACCCGACAAAGGCCTTGTATGTAGGCTATATAAAGAGCTCTCAAAACTCAATAGCAAACACCAAATGATCCAATTAGAAAATGGGCAAAACACATGAACAGACATTTTTACCAAAGAGTACATACAGACAGCAAATAAGCCCATAAAAATATGTTCAATGTCATTAGTCATTAAGAAAATGCAAATTAACACCACAGTAGGAGACTATTATACACCTATTGGGATAGCCAAAGTAAAACAATAGTGGCAACATAACATATTGGTAAGGATGTGGAGAAATTGGATCACTCATACGTTGTTGATGGGAATGTAAAATATACCTAATTTAATATGTATATGTATGTGAATATTCATAGCAGCTTTATTCATAATAGCAAAAAACTGGAAACAACTCAAATGTCCTTCAACCAGTGAAATAGTTAAACAAATTGCGGTCCATCCACACCACGGAGTACCAGTCATCCACAGAAAGAAACAAGCTATTGATCCACACAACCTCCTGGATGAATCCCAGAGGCAGAGAACAGGTCAGTGGTTGTCAGGTGCTAGGGACAGGGGTGTGGGTGAGGGAGAGCTTGGTGGTGCGTCTTAATTATGATGGTGGTTACACAAATCTGCGCATGTGATAAGGTTGCATACATCTACACGCACACACACACACAAATGAACACATATAAACTAGTGAAATCTGAACAAATTCTGGATCAAACCAATGTCAACTTTCTGGCTGTGATGTTATTGTACTATAGTTATGCAAGATGATGCCATTGGAGGAAACTGGGTGAAGTCTGCATGCAAGCACTCTGCTGGTTTTTTTAAACAAGTTCCTGTGAATCTATAATTATGGGCAGTTAACTGCAGAGGTTGGAGAGCTAGAGGCTTTTCAGCCCTGAGACCCAGGACTCCCTTATGATCTCCAGGGCCTTTGTGTTATGGTAAGAACAAAAGAGAAGCCAAGGCCCAGAGAGGGTCATGTTCTGGATCCCCTGTGGCAAAGAGGCTAATAAATTAGGCTTCCGGGACAGTGCCTGCCGACTGAGACCACCTTTGGTGGGGAGGATGCAAGTATATGTGCTTGTACTTGGGAGGAGCTAGGGGCACTTGTGGGACTGTGCTCAGGGAGGTGCAGGGGCCTGGTCTCTGGGGCCACTATGTTTAGACACAGTGCGATGCCCCCAGAGCCAGGGTGAAATGCAGGACTTGGGGCTTGAGGGGTCAGTGATGGGAACCACGGGGGTGCTGGGGTTGGGGGAGAGCAGTAGTGACTCAGGGCAGTGGACCCAGGTGAGAAGGCCTGACAGGTGGACAGATGGTAGTGAGGGTTCTGGAGGAGCAGGGTTTCCAGCCCTCAGCAGCCCAGAGAAGTCTCCTCAGGTGCCCAATCACAGCCACAGCACAGAACAGCCCCATCCAGGTCAAGTGGTAGGGAATGGGGGACAGGAGGGAAGGGCTGGGCCAGGTGCCTGGCTGACTGGCTATGGCATGCAGTGGGGTGGGGGTAGTTTGTTCTACCAAGTTTAATGGGCTTTGCTGTACCCACCCTGGCAGACTGCTTTTCAGATGTGGTCCCCACACCTCCTATAACCAGGGTCCCAAACTCCAGGAATGCTGGGCAGAGAGCTGGGCCTGACCCCAGCCCACAGCAGCCTTCTCAGGTTCTCTCCGCCCCACGATTCAGGTGGGGTACTCATTATGTCCTGAGAGAGGGGGACCCCTCTTGGCAGGGATCTGGGTTCCTAAGAACTGGGTAACTACTCTGTCCCCACCAAGCTCTATGAAGTCTCCTAAGGTTGGGTCAAACGGTGCCCTACCCCTGCCTAGTACCCTCAACTCTGCTTCCTAGTACTCCCAACCTAGTAACCCCAACTCTGCTTCCATATCTGGACAGCTGGTCATGAGCGCGGACTTCTCATCCCACCTGGGAAACTGGACCCGGGTAGGGTTGGACCAGGGTTACCAACAGGCCCTGTGGAAAGAGGGCGCCAAGATTGTTCACATGCTGTGTCCTCAGAAAGAACACTGTCCCTCTCTGGGCGGCAGTGTTCTAGGAGCTCCTGGACTTTGGTCCCTGAGCTTTTCAGAATTCCACCACCCAGGACTAGGGTCGGCAGATGAGGCGGGCGCACACCCTCAGGACGTCTGTGTCCGTAGGCAAGGTGAATCAGTTTCCGGCCCCGCCCCCGGAGCCGCACGTGACCGCAGGTGGCGGCGGCGGCATGGTGGGCGGGACGGCACTTAGTCACGGGTCAGTCGCTGCTTGTACGCACCGCTCGGCTCGCGCGGTTTACTTGCCGGTTCTGCGCCGCGCCCACGATCGCCTGGTAAGCGAGTCCGGGTCCGTTCCCCCAATCCCGGCTCTCTGGGGCGCTGCCGCCTGCCTGCCTCGCTTTCTCTAGATTCCTCCTGGCAGGTCCCTCGGGTTGCTGATCCTGGCGCTCAGGGTTTTTAAGAACCCCTTCCCCGCCCCCTCCCTTCCCGGAAGCCCTTGGAATGCGGGATTCCACTGAGCGGGGCCAGAGGCCATCTGATTTCAGTCTCCTGCCTCCCACCACTAGAAACTTATGGGAAGTTACCTGCCACAGGATGTGGGTCCTGTCCCCTACAGATAAAGGACAACGGGCCTTGGGATGTGTCCCACTTTTCTCTTTCACCTCTCCCCAGTCCTACCTGTACTGCGACCTGACCCTTGCATTTACCTTGTCTCTCTGGCAGGCTCCTTATGGGCAGAGGCAGTCCTGAGGCCCCAGAGTGCGCTGTGCCCCAGCCCGGCTGAAATTAAGATCCTGACCTTGCTGAGCATTCTGTTTCCTGTCCACACCTGTAGAAGCTCTGGGCAGGTGGAATCATGGCCTTCTCACAGGTGCAATGTCTGGACAACAGCCACGTCAACTGGCGGTCCAGCGAGTCCAAGCCGGAGTTCTTCTACAGTGAGGAGCAGCGTCTGGCGCTGGAGGCCCTGGTGGCCCATGGCCCTGAGGCTTTCTATGAGGTGCTGAAGCGGGAGAATATCCGAGACTTCCTCTCAGAGTTGGAGCTCAAGCGCATCCTGGAAACCATTGAGGTGTATGACCCAGGCTCCCAGGACCCTCGGGACTTGAGCTGCTCCCAGGGGTCCGAGGACAATGGAGTCAGGGGTGGTGAGGAAGCCAGCGGAGCAGATGGGGCACCCACTGAAGCCGAGCCGCCACCCTCGCTGGAGTATTGGCCCCAGAAGTCGGACCGCTCCATCCCACAGCTGGACCTTGGTTGGCCTGACACCATTGCCTACCGAGGCGTGACCCGGGCCAGTGTCTACATGCAGCCCCCAATCGATGGGCAGGCCCACATCAAAGAGGTGGTACGCAAGATGATCAGCCAGGCCCAGAAGGTGAGCCAGCTGCTGGCGGGAGTCCCTGTAGAGGAAGCTAGCCTAGTGAGCCTGTCCGACCCCCCAGAATCTCCCCACCCCAGTGCATACTCATTCAGAGCCCAACATGGAGAATCTACCACAGTCCCCTGTGGGTCTCTGGGCTGCCATCCTTCCTGACTTCGTGAGGTTCCTCATTCTTTGCAAAGAGATAGGGTACCTGGGTCCCCTGGCAAGTAACAGTGGGCTGCCTCATCTCAAAGGGCTTTTGTGCCTTGTTGCGGGGGGTGTTTCTGATTTCCACGGTTGTGGTGAGCAGGCTCCCCAGAGGAAGGCACTGCAATGGGGTGGGGCAGGAAGGAATTGCGGGGCTTTCTCTTACTATCCCTGGGGATGACTCTGATTCACCCGAGAAGTGCAGGCTCTCACACACATCATGAGCTCTCTGGTGTTGCTTTCGTTGAGTGGGGGAGTAGGCATAGAGACTGAAAAGTTGCCTAAGTCCATCTAAGGCTTGCCTAGAGGTCTGAGTTCAAATGTACCTGTTTCCTGGGTGTGCCAGGCAACTGAGAGCCAGTTGTTCACCCTCTCTGAGCCCCTTCATGAGCTTTGAATGGCAGAACTTTTTCAAGTAGGGATGTGGGAGGTGGGGATGGCTTGATCCTCGGGTAGAACCGGAGTGAGTTCAGCTGAGGGGTATCCACCTCTGGAAGAGACCTCAAGCATTGTCTGGACCTCCCCTTCCCAACCTCTGCTGAACGGTGCAATGTCCCGGTGTGAGTAGCCATTCTTGGATGACACACTGACACATATTCTGAGAAAAGAAGCTTTTCTCAGAGATAGCCAGGCCATTGCTGGACAGCCATGACCCTGAGCAAGTACTTCTTTCTGCTGAGCGCAATTACCTTTTTATGATTTCAAAGCACATCCTGACATGATTGATGAAGCTTACCTAGTGAGCTGTGTTCAGATAGAATCCGAGGCCAGGTCTGGGCACTGTAGAGAGCAGTGAGTGATTATCAATGTCTGGCCTAGTCTTGGGTTGTGGGTGAGGTATTACTAGTGGAATCTAACCCCTTCACTGTTCCAGACCCAGAGCAGGGCAGCAAATCACACGAGACCCAAACACTGGCTTTGGGACCATCCTGGCTGACAGAAAAGGCCTGAGAGAGCTCTTGGGAAGAGAAACTAGAAGTGGGTCAGGAGCTGAGGAGGTGGCCACAGCTTAGGTATCCAGAAACGTGGAGTCTGTCCCCGGAGAGGGCCAGCTGAGTCAGATAGCCTGTGTTAGGGAGCCTGTCCTGTCTCAGGCAGCTTTGGGGCTTCAGGTTTCTGGTCTGTAAATGGAGGTGATGAGGATAAAAGCTGTGTCTTTGGCTGTTGTGAATATAGAATCAGGTGACGGGAGTGAGGAAGAGTTGGAGGAAGGGGCCTTTATGGTTTTCGAGCGAAATAACTCTTTGCATACCTGCCATGGGATAGGAAGGTGCTGCCGACATGGGTGCCTGATGTGAGATCATGGAACCCAATCCCCTGGGAGGGTCTGTTGGGATTCCATTACCCAGCCTCCACCCCCTTTTTAAAAGTGGGAAAACTGAGGCCCAAGGAAACTTGACCTGCCGTGCCAGGGTTCCCCCTCTTCTGTTCCTCTTCTCCCCACCAGGAGTAGGAAGGAGGCAGACATCAGATCCCAGCTTGGCATGAGAACAGCCGAAGTCTAATCTCCCCCAGACAGAAAGACATATGGCCTGGCCTAGTGATAGGCTAGATAGGGGTGTGCACAGAGCCGTGCTAGGCTCGGGCAGCCTCCTCATGTCTCTATGGCCGGGGCTGAGAACCAGCCACTCCACGTAGTTCCATGGACTCCCCTCCCCCCACAACTTCATTTGTTCCCACAAAAGCCCTACAAGGTTATCAATGTCACCTGTCTAAAGTGACATAGCCAGGAAGGAGTCCATCTCAAGTTTGAACCCCGACCTGTGTGGTACCACAGTTGCTTTCTTGCAACTCCCCCGACAGGTACGCATTTCCCCCTTCCTTCATCTCTCTAAGAGTGGGGGCCTCACTGCTGAAACTGACTGCCCCCTCGGATAGCAAGGAGCCTCACAGGCCCAATAGGAGAGGTCTCAGAAGCAGCAGAGGCCAAGGGCCTCATCCTGAGGATGAGGACACACACACAGAGAAGACAGGGATTTGTTCACACCCCAGAGCACCATGGTGCACCAAGTCCCTGCTTTCCAGCCCACCTGCTTCCCTGTCACATCCATTCTGGGATCTGAGACCAACATGGTGTGTTTGTGGGCCATCTGTAATAACAATAGCTACTATTTATTGGGTGCAAGACACTTCATAATCTCAAGTAGCATTATCTGCTCTGTTTTTCAGATATAGAAACTGAAGCCTGACTGGTTACTCCCTGCCAAGGTCACTTAGCTAGTTTTTGGGTAGAGGGGTAGAGACCAGGCCTGTGTTGTCCTCAGACTCTTAGGATGGGTCCCTTGCCCATTCTGCCTGGCCCTGACAGGGCAGGGAGGGGCAGCTCATCCAAGTTCCTGCAATCCTCCCATCTCCTCTGCTCCGGCTGCTTCCCAGGTTCACAGGGGCTGGTCCATGACACTGACGGATGGTGACAAATGCTGACGGAGCCCTTTGCCTTGCCCACTGGCTTGGGAGCTTTCCCTGCCTTCTCTCCTATGAATCACCTCTTTTCACCTCACCCCCACATCCTCTTCTCACCCCCGGTACCAGTGCAGGGAGACTGCCCCGCTTCCCAGGCGTGGAATGGAGACCCCACTGTCCAGCCGCCTGGCCTAACACTGGACCACTTCCCCCCGGGGCACCTGGGGCTGCTGGAACTGAGTCAGGGTGGCCCAGCCCACCACCTCCTCATCAGCAGGGCAGGCAGACCCTGAGGCAAGGAAGTGACATAGCACACTAAGCCTGCCCCAGCTCATCCACCTGGGAGACTGTGTTCCTGTCAAGGCTACCATCAGGTCCCCCTTTTCTCAAAAGACTGGAATAGAACTAATGGACCACAGTGTAAAGAACCAAGAGTGCTGGGGTCAGGGCCCTGCTCTGCCTCCATCACTGTGAGCCGATACAAGTCTAAGCTCCTCTCTGAGTCCCGGTCATTCCATCTGTAAAATGGGTACAGACGTTGAAGACTGTTAGGGTCACTTCAGCTCTGACACTTTGTTGCCCTGTGATTCTAGACTCCTTTGGGACAAGAGATAGATGGGTCCTGGGTCTCACAGGATTCCACTGGCTGTGCAGCTCTGAGCAGGCAGCTTGCACTCTCAGAGATACTTTCCAACACCCCCCCGCCGTGGGCTCCAGCTTACCAAAATGGAAGGTCATCATCTGCTTGCCCCTCCCCAAACCCCTAGGAGCCAATGATTTATCTGGGGAAAAAACCTGCTTTGGGGTTCCAGCTGCATACCAGAGTCTGGGCCTGTAGCATCATGCTAGGAGGGATGAGCCCCAACCTCACTTAGCTGCAGCCTCTGAGAGACAGGGGTGAGGCTGGGCTGGGTCAGGAAGGGGCGGGGGAGGGTGTGTTTCCATACTCATGACTTGGGACCAAGTCCCCTAGTAGGATCCCTTTCATCAGCCTGACATCTTTGGGAGAGGGGATAGGCTCCAGGTACAGGGGCAAGTCTTGTACAGATGAGGAAACTGAGGGACAGTGAGTGCCAGAGGTGGGACTAGTACCCAGATCTCATGCTGCCCAGGCTAGGACTTGGGAACAGAGACACAGAGAAGTTAAGTTTATTGCCTAGGGCCACACAGCAGGAAGGGACAGGAACCAGATTTCAAGATGCCTGATTAAGCCCACATCATTTCTGTCAGGTCCCCGCCTTCATATACTAAAGTCCTGATTCATGGCTTAGCTCCAAGAGAATAAAAGCAGCTTAATGAGGCATTTATTAAACACCAGCTATATGCCAACTGCTGAATGAGCACTTTACCTAAGCTGTAATCCTCCCAGCAACTCCATAAAGTAGATGTTGTCTCCACTGTCCAGATGAGGAAACTGAGGCCTTGCAAGGCTCAGAGAGGGCAAATAACTTGCCTAAGGTCACAGAGCTGAAAACTGGAGGATCTGTGCCCAGGTTTGCAGGCTCTGAGCCCCCTTTTCCTGGGAAAAGCAGCATCTTGGCTATTCTTTCTGAGCCTGGCCCCTCATGAGAACGTTGGAGCCTCGATGCCATCCCCCAGCTTGACTCAGAATAGTAAAAGCATTTTCATGAGGCTCCTAAATACTGAGCTCTCTGGGAAAGGGCAACAGTCTGTCCACACAGAGACTGGAGAGAACAGTGTGATGGGGAGCCAAGGCCACTGTAGGTTCCCTGTGGACCAGGAGGGAAGGCTCTCAGTGTCCCTGAGCTAGGCAGCACCAGGGCAAATTCAACACCTCAAGTCATCTGTTCCCATGGGCACGCAGTGGGTCCGGGGAGTGGCCCCCTGCCTACTCTGGCAGTTCCCAACCCAGGGCCTAGAGCCCTCTCCTGCCAGGTGGGGGACCATCTGATAACATAATCCTAAATATTGGCTCCTGTTTTCTGCAAAAGCTTCCTACCTAATGGCATTTGCATCTTAATTGAGAGTTTGGGGAGAGCCAGGAGCAGCTCTGCCAGGAGGGAGGGCTGGCACCTCTGGGCTGGGTGCACGCCTGGCTCCAGGAACAACCTAGCAGGCAGCCTCACACCTGCAGGCAGTGCTCTCCCCCGACCCTGTGAGGTGGGCCTGTTGTCATACTCATGTCACAGATGAGGATACCAAGGCTTAGAGCAGGCCAGGGCCTGCTGAAGGTCACACCGGGCTCTTTGGCATGGCCAGTCTGTACTGGCCTCCACAGAACCCTAGTCACTCTGGTTTGGCAGGCTCACGCTGAAGCCGAGGGTCCTCCCGCTGGGCCAGCAGAGAGGGTGTGGTCCTCCCAGAGACCTCTGGCTCGCCTGCCCAGCTCAGCCACCTCCTTGCTGTATGACCTTGGGCCTCAGTTTCTTCATCTGTAAAAT